TTAAATCACACATTTAGCTTCAGAATCCTTCTCATGCTTCATACAATGTCTTGTGTTCAATACATGTTTTTTAAGCATTACTTTATATGCAAAGACTTTTCTGTACTGAAGATATATAAGCAATCATTGTCTTATTTTAATAGCTTAATTTACTGCTATATCCCAATATGTCCTGTTTGAGTACATTTTGAACATCTCTAAAAATACTGAAAGGCATACAGTCAGATATTAGGTAAATATTTCTTTATTAAATGGTTAATTCCATAAATAAAATCTTTTCACTGAATATAAAATTAAAATTATTTACAAATTATTCCAGTATTACATTTCCCCTCCCTCCCCAAAAGCTACATTTTGATAAATAAAAACATTCAGTTTTGAAACACCTGATTTCTGTTTGCAGTTTAGAGTGCAGTTAGCTGCCTCTCACAGACACTCATGGAGTGTCCCCTTCAGGAAGGGATGGAATGCCCTCCCATTTACATTTGTCAAAGGACGAATAAAAGCTTTAAACTGTCCAACTAATCTTATCTCTTTTACGACTGTAGAACCCCAAAAGGAAAAAGGCCTAGAGAAAATATGCTTAGCAAATAATTTACAAACAGAAAACAGAAAGTCATCAACACCACAAGCTCCAAAATGAAGCAGTAACATGTGCTCCAATACTATGAAGCAAAGTATTCTCCAATCGTGGCTGCATTAGTGTCCATCTGCACCAGCACCCTTGGCAGTTTCGAAATACCTTAATGCTCCTCAAGAATAAGCAAGGCATCCCTTCTACAATGTGTCCCATCACCCACACCGCCCCCACCCATTATCTCCATGATTCTGATTCTGACACTCTTCTCCCTTGTTTGTCTAGGTGCACACTGGAAACCCAAATAGCATTTAGTCCCTAAATTTATGAATGTCATTGAACAGCCTGTAGAAGGGAAACACGGCTTCATTGGCATGCGGGCAGTTGTAGTTGCATTTGCAGGACTGGATCATCATGACGTTCTTGGAAAATGTCTCCCCATCTTCACAGCGGAACCGCATCTTCACAGTCCTGGTCATCTGGGGCGTGCAGCATCGGCCGTCCACGCAGGAACCGCAGTACTTGGGCCGGTGTTTCTTCACACTCGAACATCCAGCGTAAGTAAACCTGACTGCTTCGGGGGATTTCTTGGTCTTGCTACATTTCTTGCCCTTCTGTAAGATAGAGGAGAGAAGGAAAGTAAGGGGTGATATTTCTCTTTCCTCAAAAACAGATTCACATCCCACCCACCTGCCAGGGAACAGACTACTTGTCCCTGAAGGAACTTACTTTCAGGCTGCTGTACACTGGCTGTCCACAAGGCCGCACCTCGCAAATCCGGGTTTCTTTCACCAGGCGGCATTCCGGGTTGTCATTGGTAACTCGTGTGGAGATACCAGTTCCACAGGTCTTTGAGCACTGGGACCATGAAGTTGTTTGAACGATACATTTCTGGCCATGTAAAGGGTTGTATAGGATGCGAGGCTCCATTCCAAAAACTAAAGAAATAAACAAGAGGGAAGACTTCTCAGAGGCACACTGACACAAACAGGTTCAAGTACTCATTTCTATAAAACTTCAGACCAGAAATGCATCTCAGTGCAGTATCTCAGGGCTCAGTCTCCACTTACCAGGGAGCCGCTTCAGTGAGTTGCCTTTTCCAACTGCAATCAATTCATTGTTTCTCGTCAACTCCACCTCGGACGCATCAAATCCCAGCTCCTTGCCAAGGAGGCTGTCCTGGTCGTCCATGGGGTCCTTGACACCATCCTCGTCACAGACCCACTCCTCGCAGCACTGCCCGGTAACTTTGACCAGCCGGGGATTGGGACAGCCCAAGTTGGGGAGAGACAGTTCTTGAGGACACAGAGGAATGCAGCCCACGGCGCCATCAATACATGTGCACTGATGTTTACAGTTGGGCTGGAAACTTTCCCCGTTCTGGTAGATTCTGGAGTTATATTCACAGGGTCTGCCCTCTGACTGAGCTGCAAACATCAACAAAAGAGAAAGGTAGAAGGGGATAAAGTTAAGATTCCAAACCACCGCCTGAACTTCATACATATTTTCTGCTGTTAAATTCAATTTATGGTAAAGTTCCCTACAATTCCCCGGAGACTCCAGACCAGAACAATAAGTTAGTCAGGAATCACTTTTCCGTATGCGCTTTCGTTGGGCCCAGACACACTGAATTGCATTCCAGACTGCTGAAATCATGTGCCTTTCTGCCAAGCTACCAACAACAAAGCATCACCATACATGGTCTCAAAATTACTAAACTTCTGGACTATGGGGACTAGTATTTTTTTTTAAAGGGGCCAAACCACAAGCATCTTACCTCTGCAGATCCCCTTCAGAGCGGTGGAGCTGGCGCCGAAGTTGCATTCCAGCCCCTTGGTGTGGTCACAGGGCTGCGTTTTGCTGCAGTCCTCGTTGAGCTGCTTGGCGCAGACCTTACAGCAGCCGCAGCCGTCCCGGACCAGCCCGACTCCCGGCGCGCACTTGGGCGCCTCCAGGGGGCAGTGGCAGGCGGCGGGGCAGGTGGAGAGCGCCTGGAACCGGGAGAAGAAACGCGTGAGACTCAGCGCGGTGCGCAGGAGGGGCGCTGCGGCTGCCGCGGGAAGAGACGAGGGTCTCTGACCCTGCCGACGGGGAGCCTCAGATCTCGTCCAGCCTGGCCACCCCGGGAGGCTGCGCCCACCAAGAGGTCCCCGACACGTCTTCGGGGGAGGGGGGGTGCTTAAAGAAACGGCTACCCGCAAACGGCCACGAACTTTTTAGTTTAGCTTTTCCTGCCATGGGCAATCTGGGACCAAGGGAAGAACTGGGGAGTGGACGGGGAAGCGGTGGCAAAAGAAGAGTCCAACTCACCAGCCTGGTCAAGTGGAGAAGGGTGACGGCGACGGCGAGCGCCTTGGCGATGCGGGAGCTCATTGTGGCGCGCAGGAGTAGCCCGGGGCGAGCGCGGCGGCGAAGACGCCAACAAGCTGGTGCGCAGCGGACAGGCCGGGCGTAGTGGGCTCTGGGTGGCGGCGCGGTGGGCCCGGTGGGTAGGGAGACGAGGGCCGGGCGGCGGGCGGGAGTCTTTCGATCGAAGTCCGGGCGGAGAAAGCGCGGAGGGCGCGGGCGCTGCTCGGGGGCGCTCTCGCTCGCGGTCTGCCCAGGCGCCCCGAAGCCCGCCTTTTATACGGCCGGTGGAGGCGCCGCGTGTTGCAGTGACGTCGGCTCTGTCTCCGCGTTCCAGAATTCTCAAACATCTCAGGAATGCTGGTTGGCGCGGGCTGCTGCCAAGCGCCTCCCCTGGCTCCATTGCACCTTTGTGTGTGTGTGTGTGTCCGTGTGTGTCTGTGCGTGTCCGTCCCGGATCCTTCAAGAAAACAGTTCGTTTTTTCCACCTTAAATTACGACTTCTATTGGGGAGGGTTCTTTGGGGCGTGATAGTGGTGATGGTGGTTGGAGGGTCGTGAGGGGCGAGAGGGCCCAGTTCAGAACTTTGCCTGGACTGGGTGGGTGGGAGGACCTGAGAGGAAGGAACAAAAGTCGTTTTGTTTGGTTGATGCGAGTTGACCCGGCAGCCACGGAAGCCCTCACCCAGGAAGGCAGCGAGCTGTTTGCTTGTTTACAGCGAAGGTGAGAGACAAGTTATCTGTTGAAAGAGTAAACGAGAAAGAGGAATGTGTTTCCGACCCAGGAATATTTGTGGACTTCACAGAGGCGGTTTCGGATCAGGTCCCAAAGCTTTGGCATGATGTTTATTAGCAAAGTTCAGTGAATTGCAAATTAATACCCACAGTGGCATTTATGAATGAAAAGCGGGGAGTGGGGGGAGCGGGGGACTTCTCCACCATCTGGCAAATTCCCAGGCAGAGGTCTCCCCCACCTCTCCAGTCCTCCTCTTTTGGGTATGTTGTACTTGTTTGTTTTTTGAGGTTCCCACTGTAGTTCCAGCCCACTGCCTGGGTTGGAAGTTCGAAAGGAAACGAACTCGGGGAGTTCTCCGGGAGGCTGTCTTATACTTCCTTACGGATGCAGGAGACAGGGTAAGCCCTTCCAACCTCCCTCCGCGGGCCGGAGGCTGTGCTAACCAAGCAGCCAGCCAGAAGTGCAGGGGACCACCGTGGAGTGCTTTGACCTGAAATCATCACCTGCAAAGACTGCAAGGCCAAACCAGATTCCAGTACCATTATGCCCTATGAATCTCTAGGAAAAGCAGATGCCTTCAAGCTGGAAGTTTTGTGGGGTTTTTAACTCCTTTCCTAGGGACCACTGGAAGCCTCCCATTTTAAATGAATTGCAATGAGATGTAGGATGTAATACTCTGTAGTAAAAATGTCAGCAGATTATAAGATCCTGTTTTACCTGCAACACACTCAGGAGAAGCCCCCACCACAGTACAATGCACTTGAACATTACCAATCCCATTAGTGTGATTGATAAATTTTCCCTACAGGTTTCAAAAACTATCTTTAATTTTAATAAATTGTACTTTTAATAAAAATTATCATGTGAGACTCATATGCTCTAGGATAACTACTTATCCTTTTTAATGTTTAGGGTTGTTCACACTTCTTCATTTAGCAGTCTTGCTTAAAAGGGCCCTTAGTGCCAAGCGGACTTTTCTGATAAGCACAATGAGAAGCTATCATGATGAAAACACACTCCAATGAAGAGAACTTTTGCAGGAAAGAGTTCAGTTTTTTTCATTCAAAAGTGCCCTTTCATAACTGAAAGCAGCATTTGCTAGAAGGAGTGGGAAGCTCTATTGGAGGGTTAGGGGTGAGAGACTTTTCAAGACAATGGATTGTCAGGTGTCATGCAAATCAAGTGAGGAAAGTCTGGGCCCAACACGAACACAGGTTAATACATCAATTATTATTTACAAAGCATTGCTTTTCCTGCCTTAGCATTTCATTTTCATTTCCTTCTTAATGAAGTGCCTGGGGTGAGGCGGGGGAGGAGGGGTGTAGCCACAGTAAGGGGTGAACAGAGGGAGATGGTAGAGAGAGAATGGAGAGGACGGTTCCTGGCTTCTGTTGTGGCGTCTTTTCTATTTGACTTCATGGTTGTAAGTATTTCCAGATGGTGAATCAGACACCAGACGTAACAATATTTCCATATTTGGGTATAGCAGTAGCCTGCGTTTTTAACATTTTTCTGCCTCTGTTATCCAACCACAAAGCATTCTTGACAGCTTCAAATGTTGTTAAATATAGATTTAACTTCTCTTCCCAGAGCAGGAAATTCTTTGGAATTCCTTGTTTTTCATGCAATCTGTCTATCATGATTTAAAATCAAAGCACAGTGGATCATCCAACTGGCCGTATATACCTCAATTGGAGGTTGGGGATGGGGGACGGCAGAGATCCAGTCTGCCGCACTGCGTTCAAACACAGCCATTCCAGAGATTCCTTTAAAATCACATTAAAGTTTTCTAACAAGGGTGTGTGGGTTTGTTTCTGGATTTCAACTGGGGAATCTTGAGGATGAGTTTGCCCCAGAGGAGAAATTTAGAGAACTTTACCGTCAGCTGCCCATTTAAAGCAGGGGGTGTGTTGTGGGAGGGGGGTGGGAAGCTGGAGCTACAGGGCCAGGAGGTGTGGAAGCAGGAGACACCAGAGTAACCTATGTGCACAGCCTCTCCGTATACCATGTGCTGGTGCGCCTGCTAGTAGTCGACGACATTAGGCAAGAAAAACAGCGGCTCCTCAAGTCCTGCCCGAGGACCGTCCAGAAACCCCAGCCTCCGGTGGTCTTCTCACCGCCTCCGATGGGAGCTGCAGATCAGTCCAAGTTGACGGACAGGAGGCGAAATGTGCAAATGTTTATGGGTAAGTGTTGCTTCGGGTACTAATTCTGTATGGCTCTTTTGCTAGTTTCTCCCTCACCCACCCCATACGGGTGCCCAGGCAGGAAATAACGGGCTGCCTTGTTTCCTTGGGCTGCCTTGGGTTGCAATCCACGGAAAAGGGGCTACTTGTCTTCTGCAGCTCCTGGCTTCGGGCTGAGCGATGGGGACGTTTCTCACCCGCTGCTGCCAGGGAATTTTAGGTTACCTAATGAAGGGCTCACTGTCTGGCTGCAACCGAGAATTATAACGGTAAATCTGGCGACTCTGGTTTCCTAGCCCTAGGAAGGTTCTCAGACTAGCGTGCATCAGAATCACCTGGAGAGCTAGTTAATGATTCCTGGGTCCCACCCCAGAGTTTCTGATTACTTTTCTAACAAGTCCCCAGGTGGTGGTGATGCTGCTAGTCCGGAGATCACGCCCTGAGAACCACTGCGGTGGACGACTGGAGTGGGTGTAGTAGGGGTGTGTGTGTGCGTCTCAAAGGTACTCGGCCGCACACCCAAGGTCACAACTCCACTCTTTATAGCCACCTTAATGAACGGAACAACTTACGGTGTCTGCAAAAGACCAGCTTTCAGGTGGCGCCCCCCGCACCATCCCATTTCTCTCCTCCACCTTTTCTCCGCCCCAATTCCCAGAGGAAGCCAGGATCCTATCCTGGTGGCGGCGGCAAGAACTGGGTGGCCGACGCGCGGAGAGGGCGGGCCCCGGCACCCCTGCGGAGGCAGCGGGCAGGGTCCTCACGGCGGGAGGGAGCGAGACGCGAGGCATCCGGACGCGCCTGCCTAGCCGCCGCCGCCGCCCCCTGCCGGCCACCCCACGCGCGCGCCCTCAGTCACCGCGGTTGCCAGGACTCGAGGTTTCCGGCGGCGCGCGGCGCAGGACGTTTCCAGCCCCGGCCCATATTTGGTGAAAGTCTTTCAAGACTCCGTCATCTAGCTTTAGGGGACGGTGGCGGCGGCGGCGGCCCTGCGACCCGGCCGGACAGCCTTGGGGCGGCCGCAATCTGAAAAGTGCACCGCGCCCGCCCGAGCCCAGGCCTCCCACCGCGCGGGATCCCAAGCCTTGCGGGCGGCGGGGGAGACCCGGGCGGTTGGGCCCCGGGTCCTCACCCCTCTGAGGGCCGAAGTCGGCCCTGCGCTGCGTGGGAGGCTGGCGCGGAGGGCGCCGCGGCCCTATTGTGTCACTTTTGCCGTCCACCCCCCTGTTGACTCGTCCTCCCAGCGGGGCAGCCAGTTGCCGCGATGTGCCAGACTTAGAGGGTGTGCCGGGCGCGGGGGTGTGGGGCTGTGTGTGTGTTGGGGGTGGGGGTCGGAGGATGGCCTTTGCGTGGCCACGGAGCGCATCCGAGAGGGGAAGGTGGAGCCGACTCTGGGGAAAAGCCCTGAAGGGCCTGGATTCCATTATCCCCAGAAGGGACACATGCTAGAGCTGGCTCTAGGAGTCTCCTGGCCTCCCACGACCGCTTCCCCTCTTCCTCCTCGAGAAGTTCCGCGTGTGAGGAGCCCTGAATAGGAAGCCCTGGCTCTGCCATCAGTAGCCGGTGGCCTTAGAGGTACTGCTTATCCTCTCGGGACCTTGCCTGTTTCTCAGTAAACTGGGAAAGGAGGCAGCAAGTTGTAAAGCCAGAGCAGCTCCTTTCAGAGCCAAATCTCATGTCATCCCCTCTAATACTGACAGAAATTAACACATTATATAGGGTTCACATAGGTTGGGCACCTCTTTAAATGCCTCCTATATATTGACTCATTTAAATCTCAAATGCCCCATTGAAGCAGGTCCTCTTGGTAACACCATTTTCTGTCTAAATGAAGAAATGGAGGGAAGGTAAGTGACTAGCCAAATGTCACTACCTAGTCGGCAGTGAAACTGGATTTGGACCCAGATCATAAAGTCTCACACTTAACCACTGTGCTATACTGCCTACCCGCCATCTCTTACCACAGACATTCAGGCCCATCCCCCTTTTCTGGAAATTTACCTTTATTTAACTCTATCACAGCTTACCCAGAAACTCTAGGAGAAATGCATCAGATATAAAAATAGTTGATAAATTAACTGAAGCTGTGCTAAACCCTGAGAATTGCCTAATGTACTGACTTTTAGGAAGGAGGGAGGAAAGTGGTGTTATAGTCTAACAGAAAAGTTCTTAATGCAGATACATTTATAGAGTGGTCTTTAAGCACCTTTGAGGGCTGATGGGGAAGATATTTAGGACCTCTGGGGCTCTTTTGATGCCTCATAAGCCACATTGTTCAGTCAGTCCCTACTTCTGGAGTAAGGCTTTGGCCTGGTAGGAATTGCATTTGTCACTGAGATAAAGGTTTCAGCATCACTTACTTGATGGTTCATCAGTCTGGGTGTTTGCTGTGCACCCAGTCTGTTTTTGTTGTTGGTTATTTTTGAAACATGGTCTAGTTCTGTCACCCAGGCTAGAGTACAGTGGCACAATTTAGGCTTGCCATAGCCTCAGCCTCCTGGGCTCAAGCCATCCACCCACCTCAGCCTCCTGTGTAGCTAGGACTCCAGGTGCACACACCACACCCAGCTAATTTTTGTATTTTTGTAGAGATGGGGTCTCCCCATGTTGCTCAGGCTGGTTTTAAAGTCCTGGGCTCAAGTGATCCACCTGTCTTGGCCTCCCCAAGTGCTGGGATTGCAGGTGTGAGCCACAGGCTCCCAGTCTGTTTTTAACCTGTTTTCTCCCCAACTATGTTATAAATATATATATATATATATATATATATATATATATATATATATATATATAGAGAGAGAGAGAGAGAGAGAGAGAGATGGGGTTTCACCATGTTGGCCAGGCTGGTCTCAAATTTCTGGCCTCAAGTGATCCGTCTGCCTCGGCCTCCCAAAGTGCTGGGATTACAGGTACGAGCCACAACACCCAGCCTAATTACCCATATCTTTGAGGACAATTTGTTTACCCTTCTCTGAATCCCAGATTTATAGTGCTAGGTACTGGTGACATTAAAGAGGACTTTAATATTGAAAGTCCCCTGGAAGACTTTAAGGCGTATTGCAGAAGTGGGTACATAAATGCTGTGTGGACACTTCACTGCCTGAGAAGAGTTAGGTGGAACAACTAATCTGGGGCTGAAAGGATGAGCAAGAGTTTGATAGCAGGGAAGGACATTTGAGAGGAAAGGAACAGGGCCTTGACCGGGCATAACAATCAGTCTTACACAACTGAACCATAGGATTCCTTTGGAAACTGGCAAGAGAGGTCAGTTGGGACCATCTGCAAATGGCCTTACTGTCATGACATTTTAACTTTTCAGAGTGAGCCATGTGTGCTTTTTCCCTAGATTTCCTTGTCTATAGGATCATAGGATTCTCCCAGCTAAGAGGACACACACTCAAGTGCTACCCAGGTACCATGCCTCAGAATTAGTACCGGCTGACATTTGGCCTCAGCCTTGGGAACTGTGGAGACACTGGGACCAACTCTGAGGGGCTGAATGGTTACTAGATGAAATTGTAGGTTCAATATTTACCTATTTTCTCATTTTAAAAAGAGATACCAGAGATCTGGATTTTTTATGAAGTCTTCACAATTTTTAAATGTTGGGAATTAATTACAATGTTAAAATGCCATCTAGGCTACCCCTTAGAAAACCTAACAAGACAATGACTGTGGGTGCCAGTTGTAATCTTCAGACTGAATATCTCTAAGAATCTGCCCTGCTCCAGCATTCTGTAACTACCAACCACCCGTGGAATTGTAGGAAACAGCACTCTGAGCTCCATTTAATTGTAAAGTTAACTAGACTTTCATTTGTTTAAGAATCAGGGCTGCTTCTTAACTCTTCATTGTAGGAATTTATATCCTATTAACAAAATTGGAATTGGTGGCTTTTTACTTTATCCACTCTCCAATCACTACTCTGTCTCCCTCCTTCCTGTCCCCCTGAATTGATGTTGTAAGAAGCTGGCATTGCCTTGGCACTATGATAGGAAACATTTTTTAGGGCATCCGTATCCCATGGGAACTCTGTTTATTTCCTCCACCTGGCATCTATCCACAGGAAGCCAGCATTCCTAACTCCCTTACCTTACAGAACTTCTTGTTTTGTGATAACACAGAAACATTTCAATGGAAAGGACTAGAAGGAACCTCTCCCACCACACACTGCAATCCCTCTTCTAGATATGATTGAGCAATATGAAATATAATAATTGTAAGTCATTATCAAATGGGTTGGCTCCAGATTGAGAGAATCAGCAATTAACCTCTGCCTTTCATGTTTTATTTCTGGAGATGCCTGTCTCTTAACTGACCACTTAACATCACACATAGCATATCTAGAATTTAGAAAGGATTTGCTCTGGGCACAGTAGATGAGCACACAGATTCTACAGAGAGATTGAGGCGATTTATTTGTGCCAAATTTTTGCAAGTCCTGGGGATTGAGCTTAAGGGAGTATTAGAGCAGTAGGACTTATTATGCGAAATAAGACATATTTACTGCTCAGCATGATGCTGTCACATAGTAAGTGCTTAATAAATTACAATTTTTTCTACTGCCAAGCACCACCATTATCTTTACTTTCACTACAATTAACATAGAATGAGCTAGTCTTATTCTCTAAAGAATACTTTCTATGCTTAAGAACTCTAGTTATAAAATCAATAAAATTCTTTAATATATGGTATGTAGATGATGTGATTAAAAGAATCCATCCAACCTGCTATTCTGGCTGCACTGAGACACCAGTGACCGTCTGAAAAAACACTCAAATGGCCTTACCTCTCATGGCATTGGGACTTTGCTTACAGGCCGTGGTGAGTCCTGTGAGGTTTTGCTTTGGTTTCCTCACTTATAAGGCGATAGGATTGTACCAGTTCAGGAGTGGTGCACTCAAGTGCCCCAGGAATCAGAGAGGTAAAAAAAATTCCCTGAGCATTAGTGCCGGCTGACACTTGACCTTAGCACTGAGGAGACATAGGGATGGTTGGAATTA